CAGGAAGCCGGGCCAGCCCTTCCGCAAGCGCCCCTTCCTGCGCTCCCCGCCAAGGAGTCTGGCTGGGGCCTGGACCCTGCCCCCTTGCCGAGGCCACCGGGTATGGACGCGCTCAGTCTCCGAACCTCCCTCCGCCGGTGCTCGTGGTCCGCCGCGACCCCACCTGCTGCCCTCACCTGGAGCCTGGCCCATGCCGGCCCCTCCGACACCCAGGCGCCTGGGCACGCCCGTCTTAAGGGACCTTACCGCCCGCGTGTGCGTGCCGGCCCTGCAGGGTCCACGGGGCGCCTGCTTGAGGGGTTCTCTGGGAGCGGCTGGCTCGGCCATCCTCCTGCCGCCGCCCTGACGGCGTCTGCTAGTGGAGCCTGAGCCGCCCTGGCTAGCCCCTCCGCGGGTGCGGACATGGGGATCGGGTTGCTGCAGTAACCACTGCGAGGGCTCTGCAGGTGCCTGCCTGGGACAGGGCCTGAGCGGGCCGCCAGGGCGTGCGCCCTCGCTGCTGAGCACGCTGTGGTCTCTGCTTGGCCCCTGAGCTGGGCTGGAGGTCACGGTGGTGGGTCCCTGGCAGTGGCCTCTCCATCTTGGGTTCCCGTGATAAGCAGAGTCATAGCTGCCTGCTTGTCTGCACCTGGGCCTTCTGTGGCTGGCTTCCACTCCTGCTGCCTGCAGAGAGCTGCAGCCGCTCACCTCCCGTCAGCGGCCATGCACACGGCAGGGCCAGCTACCTTCTTTCTTATCAGCACTGGAGGTGGGGGGCATGTGGGAAGAGGCTGGGTTGCGCTCCCTCCTTACCAGCAGGCTCCTGGTGGAGCCCACTTGGTGTTTGGGTTTGGGGGTGTGGTTACGACAGGGCGCAACAGAGACAGCCTTGGGCCCCTCAGGCCCAAGCAAGGTCTGGGAGGGAGGGACCCACTTCTGTCTGGGCCTGGGGGGCCAGGCTGTGTGTCACTGGCCTGGGGAGACCCCCGGGTTCCAGGAGCCTGGGCTAAAAGGTCCAGATGGGCTAAGTGGGTAGTGGGCAGGGGAGAGGGCTGGCTGCTGCAGGTGGGAAGTGCAGGATTGCTTAGGTGGCCGGGGTGGTCCTGTGAAGGGACCACCCTGGGGCATCTGGGTGGGAAGGGAAGGACCGTGGGTCTTTCTCTGGCACTGGAAAGAGACTGGAGTTCTCCCCAGGAGTTGCTGGGTGCCTCCGCGAGGCCCTTGCCCAGGGCAGCAGGCCTGTACCCGGGCTCCCAGCTCCGGAGTGTCTGCCTGACGAGTGTGACAGTGGCGAAGGCGGGAGGAGCAGTTTTCTGGGCCCCAGGTCTGGCCAGTGAGGGCCTGCTCTGGCTGGGTGGGCAGTGTGGCTTGTGAGAGCCCACCTCTGGGGTGAGTGCCACCCTGGCCTCTCTGTGGGGGTGGAGGGGTGGGGCAGAAGCACCGGGATTGAGTGCAGGGGGTGTGGGGAGGGCTGTTGGCGAGGAGAGTCCCAGAAGCCATGCTGGGACACTGCATGCTGTGTCCTTCAGAGGCAGAGTTGCCCCCTGCCTCCATGGGAAGACTGGGTCACTGCCTGCTTTTGCTGATGCCTGTGATCTACCCAGCAAGGCCTCTCTGCCTTGAAGGCACTGTAGGCAGGCCTGGAGCTATGGTGAGGCTTAAGGGCGCCTGTCCTGCCCATGGCCCTGCCTCAGGACACACGCTGGCGAGAGCACCAGGACCACCGTGCTCACAACCTGGAGCAGATACCCTGCAGGGAGGGAGGGACGGGGGCGTGCAGGGTCACTCCCAGGAGGCAGCTCAAATATTGCGCTCCAGAGGGCGGAAGTCCCGGGACTTTTACCAGGAGGCTGTCACAGCCAAGCCCTTGAGCAGTCGTCAGCCCTGGTGGCATCCACAGGCTACAGGCTGGGCAGGAAGAGGGCCATGCCGCGTGTGCTCTCCAGGAGCCAGGACGCCTTCCCTGCCATGCTCACGGGCCCTCGCGCTCTTCTTGCAGGTGACCATGCCCCTGGCCTTGTCCAGTGGACACTGGCTTCCCGGACTCCCCGGCCTGGGACCCAGGCTGAGGAGCAGCTTTGGGTGTTTTGGTGAGGACTCAGCAGGCTCTGTGCCCCTTGTCCCTGCTGAGGGGAGTGGGTAGAACAGAGCAGTTCCACTTTACATCTGTGCTCCGCAGTGCCCTGGGGAGTGTGCATGCTGGGCTCTTGGCGTAGGGGCCCGCAGGTCACAGCCTGGGCTGCCTCGGCCTCCTTGCGGTGGGTTGTCTGTCTTTCCATAGTCAGGTGCCCCCTCTTTTGCATCTGAGCTCGGGCTTAGGTGCAGGCTGGGCAAGGGCTTTTCTGAGGTTGCGCCTGGACTGTATGTCCGGGGCGGTGGTGGGCGGCTCCTGGCTGGACTGCTGCATGCCCTGGTGTGTGCTGGCACAGTGCAGACCTGCGTGTGTCTCTGGCCTCAGCCACGGCTCGGTCAGTGCAGGGGTGTCTCCACCTACCCTCCAACGTGGGTCAGAGTGTTTGCTATTCGCCTTTCGTGGGCTGAGACAGTAAGTCACCTGGGTTCTCCTTGATTCCTGGTGAAGGGGGAATTTATCCAGCTGTCTTCTGCCACATAAGTCACCGCCCATGACCAAGCAACCCAAGCCAGACAGCTGAAGTGACCACTTCACATCTCCCACGTCACGGCGTGTGGACTCGGACAGCAGGGCAGTGCAAGCCTGCCCTCAGCCTGTGCCTGGCCAGTCGGGGACCACTGCACCCCTCCCAACCATCCGTGCCAGCCACAGCGCTCAGACTGCCGGACTTGGGGGCAAGCATCACAAGTGAGCACACCCTGCCGCAGGGTGTCCGGCTGTCACTGCCCGTTTGGGGCTCTGGGCTGCCTTCCCGAGTTTTCCACTGGTCTCTAGGAGAACAGCGCTGCTGTTTCAGATCCTGAGGGTGGGACAGTCGAGGTTGAGCCCAGGAGGGCACGGGTGGAGGTGTGGGTTCAATTCAGGGCTGGGCTAGGGTGGTGAGGTTGTGCCAAGGGGGCAGAGCGTGGTCCAGCAGGAAGTGAGGTGGGGAGTGGGCACCTGACAGCAGCCAGGAGGGGAGGATGTGCTGGGAGCCCTGGGCGCTGAGGGCCAGCTGGAGGTCCTGGGATGGAGCCAGTGCTTCCTGGGGAGATGATGGTGAGGCGTCTGTCTGGCCCATGGGGGCACCTGGGAGCCCACTCTCCTTGCCTGGTGGCTCCTACGTCCCACCTTGGGGAGGAGTGGGCGGGGAGGGGCAGTCTTTGCCCTTGACTCAGTCCTGCAGAGAGAGGAGGGGCCAAGCAGCAGGGTGACCTCTCACACCCATTAGGGTCTGCAGCCATGCTGTGATCCTGCTGAGTCTGTCCTCCTTTGTGACCAGCTCTGGTAGGTCCAGCCGTGGCCCCATGGCCATGGTGGGCTTGTGGGCATGTCTGCAGGACTGAAGAGTTGGTGTTTCCGCCCAGAGCCCTTGCAGCAGCATCTGCCAGCGGCCCCTGTTCTGGGGTGCGGGGAGAGGACCAGGCCTCCTGTGATGTGCCAACATCCGGAGGCAGGCTGAGCCAGGGAGTCAAGGGTGGCCCTGAATGTGCCCAGCTGAGCCTACACCTGGCCAGGCGGGTCTGGCCGCATTCCTGTAGGTGCCGCTGGGGCTGGCAGTTATCT